GAGGTTCGAACTCCAGCAACCTGAGGCTGACAGCTTTGTGGAAGCAGCCACTTAAAGGCCTGAGCTAGGGCCAGGCCCCCTGGCTTTACATCTTAAATCAAAGTATATTTCCCTATTTGTGCGCAGTATTACATCTGTTAGGTTAAATATGTGTTGGCCACATTATATCAACATATACAGAAGTACAGAACGGCGCAATGAACTTCTATGTGCCCCGCCCCCCAGCCCTTAGCAAAGCACATTGCAGCCGCCCCCGTCCACCCCTACCCTCAGATTATTTGGGGCAAGTTCTATGCATCATATAATTTCCTTTAGTCATACTTCAGTACAGATCTTAAAGAGAGAAGAACTCTTTGAGCTGCGCATTGTGGCCAGCCTGAACTGCATAGTGAAACCCTGTCTCAAAAAGACAAAAAAAAAAAAAAAAAAAAAAAAAACCTCTTTGAAAACATATTCCCAATAAATTCATTAGCACCCCTAGAAAGTCCACATTCACTCTCCGTTCACCCCTCAGTCCTCCTGCCTGACCCAGACTCTACCTGTGACCACCAGCCACCCCTGCGTGGTGGCTTGCACGCACTCCAGCCACACAGGCACAAGCACACCGGCTGTGGGCTTCTTGTGGGGTCTCCGTCCTCTTGCTCCCCCTGCTGCAATGCTCGGCCTTTCAATGTCTGGCTTCCCGAGTGCAGGCCCCTACAGCCTGGACCCCATCCCATGGGCGCTCTCACCCTGTCTCCTTCACAGGGGAGCCACTCCTGGGTGGAGCCTCTGCTTATACCCAGGGCGAGCAAAAAAGGCAATGAACGCTTACAGGTCTTTTTTTTAAAACATATTATGGTAAAAGACGTAGTGCCATCATCCCCGCAAAGCCTTCCCCTTGCTTTGCACGCATCTTCCCTTCGTCCTGGCTGCTTCTGCTGCAGCCCTGGAGTCCTCTTTCCTGAGGTCTACAGTTGCACTGCACTGGATGCCTCAGTGACCTGAGTCGATTCAGAATATTTCCCTTCCATGGCCACTTGGACTTTGGGGAAGAGCCACAGTCTCAGGGTGCCAGATCTGGTGAATCGGGTGGATGTTGCCATGAGCTGCCTTTCCATGGGATGGCACTCGGCAGCAGCCTTCAGCATATTTTTATTATAATTATCACACCTAGTAAGGACACTTGGGGGAGAGGACTTCCGGAACTGCTGTAGAACGTGGCAAGAGTGATGTCATGAGTGGACTGGAAGCGAGGCAGAGTGCTTTGAGAGAGATTCATAGCATGGGTCTTTTACCATAGTAATTTTCTTTAATATTTGAACA